GGAAAGAAGGCTTTCCATCTCTGTTTATATATTTTTTTCCTAGAATGGGGAGAATTATACTTCCCCATCCACACTTCCCCAAATTGCCCACTGCCAAGTTTCTTCACAAGCTTCAGAGACTCCCGTGGGATCTCCCATTCATCCTGTGCCCAGGGTCTCTGGGGAACCAGGGATATGCAGGGAGATGTGAGCCGCTGGCACAGGCCGTCCCCTTTCTCTGTATGAGAATCATAAAATCATTATGGTTGGAAAATGATCTAGTCCAACCATCTACCCAACACTATCATGACCACAAGACAGTTCAATGGGATGGCAGAGCCAACCTCCTGGTCCATCTGCACATGTCAGGAGAAAGTCAACCTATGGGAAAGCTCCACAGCTACACAAATGTTTCAGCCACAAAGATCAACACCCACAGAATGGACCAAATGAAAGGAAAAAGCTCAATTAGAGCCATAGAAGAGAAAATTCTCCTGCTCAGCTAGTCTAAACCCTGCTTCCCAAGCATTCCTCCTGCATATCCCTTTCTTCTCCTGATGGGAGACACTCCCTGGTTATAGGGCTGTGAGCAGAGCTCACCCCTACAATGCCCTAGGATGAAATACAGGATGTAGGTGCCCAGGTTCTGCTTGTAGGAGCACACCACCCGTGGCGGTGGTGCCTAGTAAGCCTGTCCTCCCTCTGTCCACACACCCACCTTCTGCTAGAGGACAAACCCATTAGGGAATGCAAATCACTTACGGCTGTAATGATGGATTAGCTCTGGCAGGCTGCAGAAAGTCGTCCTGGGGGAGATGTAATACCCCCCATCATCTAAGGAGCGAATCCTGTAGTGTTTGATGATGTCCCCATGGGCAGAGTCTCTGTCTCTCACAGACAAGGAATAGGAACCTGGAGAAGAAGCAGAAGAAGGAACCATGAGGACAAGTAGCACCCTGCTCAGGGAACGGCTACCTCCTCTTTCCTTGGCTGCCTAAACTGCAGACACTTTTCCCAGCCCTTGACAATGTCTTCTCAGGGCAAGTGCCACTAAACCACAAAGCTGCACACTTCCCTCTCTCCAGGGCAAGTGGAGATAATAAGGGTTCTTTAGAGCTTAACTGGGCGTGTTGAGGCTTCAATGAGTAAAATCTGGCTACGCCATGGCCAACAGCCCCAAGGAAGGAATATGGTAATCCATAGCACATCTTCAGCCAGAGATGCTGTTCCATCTGAGCTCTGCCAAGCCCAGTCTCGTCTGGATGAAACAAAAGTGACTGCAGTCTCACCAGTCTGTGAAAACACAGGACTGACAGGGAGCTGAACCACCTGCTGTCACAAGCTGAATTTTGGTCAGTGAGAGAGGAAAGGCCAATAGATCTGTGTCCCTTCTTGGCATTACCCAAGGTTCCTGTGTTTCTATTTATCCCCTATAACCCTTGTACCAAGGTCAGGGGTTCAGCTGGGAAGTACAGAAGGGAGATTCAGAAGATTTGTCTTGTTCAGTCATAAACTTGTGACTGTGGTAAAACCACACCTGAGATTCATGGGCCTTTTGACCTCAAGGGAGCTACTCAATGATCTACTACTCCAACCTGCCTTTCCTCTAATAGGTTTATAACCTAAACCATGGAGTTGTTTTACTGTGCACAAAAACATCACTAGATGTTGCTGAAGAGCAGCAACTTCCAGCCTGTGTCAGTGCAAATTGCAATACAGCTCAGCAGCATATTTTTTTCCCCCTTTGTCTGGATCATATTTCCGGAGTCAGTTGTTACAAGCCTGCTGGGCTGTGAAAAATCTAATACATCACCCGGGTTAACAGGCTGCCTTTTTTAATGTTTGAAAAGGCAAGGCTATATATGTTAAAAAGTATGTATCTGTCATGTAGGATCATAAGCAGAAGTGGGGCCTTCCATAACGATTCTCAAACCCTAATCCTGCATGCGAGGGGAAAGTTTGCTAACATAACCCTCCCTGGCTGGTGTTTTTCCATTGCAGCAGCAGCTCCCTACACTGGAACTGGAAACCATTCGCATTTTGTAAAAGTTAACAAAAGAAAACAACCTTTGTGGACGTTTGCTCTATTGCAGTGAACGTAAATCTTTTCAAGCAGAATTTGGGAGAGCCTAATTTTTTTCCAAGTGCTAGCAGTTGTTGGGGGCAGGGAAACGCTCCTATTCTGCAGAGATATGGTGGCATAATGTTTATGGAAGACCTACTGGTTTAAATGCAGAGCCAGAGAACCTCAAGATTTGAAGCAGACAGCCTCAGCATGGTAGGCTCCTCAACAGAAGATGTTCTTTTGAAACTCTTTCCTTCACCATGAGTGTCAGTCAGAAGGCAGACTGAGAAGCCCATTTGGATCAATCAGTACTTTAGCATAACACAGAATCATAGAATGGTTTGGGTTGGAAGGGACCTTTAAAGGTCAACTAGTTCAACCCCCCCTGCAGTGAGCAGGGACGTCTTTAACTAGATCAGGTTGTTCAGAGCCCCATCCAACCTGATTTTGAATTTTTCCAGTGATGGAGCTTTACCACCTCTCTGCGCAACCTGTGCCAATGTTTCATCACTCTCATTGTAAAAAAGTAGATAAATTTTCCTTACATCTGGTCTAAATCCACTGTCTTTTGGTTTAAAGCCATTATGCCTTCTCCTACTGCAACAGGCCCTGCTAAAACATCTGTCCCCATCTTCCTTAACAGCCCCATTTAAGTACTGGAAGACTTCTATAAGGTGTCCCAGGACTCCAGGCTGAACAGCCCCAACTCTCATCCTGTCCTCACAGGGGACATGCTCCAGCCCTCTCATCATCTTCGTGGTCTACTCTGGACCTGCTCCAACAGGTCTATGTCCTTCTTATGTTGGGGGCCCCAGAGGTGGACACAGAACTGCAGGTGGGATCTCACCAGAGCAGAGCAGAGGGGCAGAATCCCCTCCCTCGACCTGCTGGGCACTCTGATTTGGATGAAGTCCAGGATATAACTGGCTTTTTGGGCTGCAAGTGCACACTGCTGAGTCATGTTCAGTTTTTCATTGACCAACACCCCCAAGTGGCAACCATCAGAGAATATCTAAGAAACAGCCCTAAAGCATCTTCAGTGCAGCAACAGAAAACTCAAGGGAAGGGAAAAGGAATAGCTCATTTTTCCAGTCCATGTCTCAGTGCCCAAAGGTCACTACACATCTAAGGATGTCATTCCCAGGGTGTGATCTTTGGTCCCTGGTGGGTGCAGAGAGGTGTTCCTGGGGCCTGTGTCCACAGTGCTCAGCACAAGTCCTGCTTGAGGTGATCAGCCACTTTGACATGCCCTAGCACTTGGCCCCAGACCTCCTTTGGCTCCTCTGTGTTACTTATGTGGACTATAGTTGCAAAAATAAATAATATTACTATTTTTATTACTATTAATATCATCAATATTATCAATAATATATAGATATTATTTGTTATTATTAACTTCTACTGTTGCTGTTGAGGATGATGATATTATTTAAATTCCAAAGCAATTGAAATAATGTGCAGGTTGTGCTGCAGCCCATCAGATTCAGGCTTATAATGGCACAAGCCCAAGAGGTTGCTTTGCATGCCTGGGACACAGCTTAGGGTACGCGTGTGGCTTTTCTACAACGCAAGTCCTGTGAAAGGAAGGAGTCAAACGTGATGTGGACCCAGCTATACCAACAAAAGGCACCGCTGCAGAAGGGAGCACAGGAATTAACAACTAACATGTGTGAGTGGGTGCTTAGGGGGCCGGGATTCAGCAGAAGTTGCACCCAAACTGCCCATTCTCCTCCTTTCCAGAGCCCACTGACACTTCAAACCCTCTTGTATCTTCCAAACCAGTGATACAGAGCATACGGAGGTGACAGGAGCTCCGGGCACTCTCCAGGCCAATCTATCAACTGCCTACTGCCAGCATAAATACTTATCCTGCCATTAGAGCTAATGACTGTATTTCACTCCAAGTCAGAGTTTCATTTGCTGGTAGAGCTTTCTCTGTCATTCACTGTGGCTGGTTATTGTTCCCTTGGGAGCTGCAGTGTAAAGGCAAAGCATTAGGTCTGAAAAGTTTCAATTCTCTCTTCTCCCAGTGACAGCAACGAATGAAAAATGTTAAGTGGAGCCGGACAGATGGCAGGAGTCCTAATCTTCCCTGACGATAGCCAGAGTGGGCGAAAGGATTTCTTGCTCCTCACCATAAGCAACGTTTGCCTGTCCTACAGTCCTGCATCCCAGCACAGAGCTGGGCTGACACACAGAGGTCCACACCTGCACTCAACACCAGCTCAGAGCAGTGTGAGCACAACTGAATCTTGCCCTCGGCAGCTCTAGGTGTCAGACCCTCCTGTTTTGGATCTGGGACACACAAACCACCCTACAAAGGGCTCTCAGGTCCTTTATGTTCAGAGGGTGCTGAGGTTTGTACGGGAAAGGGCCATGGAACACATAGAGGGTGGAATTCGACTTCACACCATACCTAGGGCTGATTCAGTCACCTAAACTTGGATGTCTGGAACTACTTAGAATCATAAAATCACAGAATCATTTAGGTTGGAAAAGACCTTGAAGATCACCGAGTCCAACCTCTAACCCAACACTGCCAGGTCCACTAGGGCTGATTCAGTCACCTAAACTTGGATATCTGGAACTACTTAGAATCATAAAATTACAGAATCATTTAGGTTGGAAAAGACCTTGAAGATCACCGAGTCCAACCTCTAACCCAACACTGCCAGGTCCACCACTAAACCATGTCCCTGAGCACCACATCTACACGGCTTTCAAATCCCTCCAGGGATGGGTTGCCACCACTGCCCTGGGCAGCCTGTGACAGGGATTGATAACCCTTCTGGTGAAGAAATTTTTTTTTAATATCCAATCTAAATCTCCCCTGGAGGCCATTTCTTCTTGTCCCATTGATTGTTACACGGGAGAAGAGATCAAACCCCACCTCACTAGTCTCCTCTCAGACAGCTGTAGAGAGGGATGTCTCCCCTCCTTTTCTTCAGGCTGAACAACCCCAGTTCCTCCAGCTGCTCCTCATCAGACTTGTTCTCAAGACCCCTCCCCAGCTTCATTGTCCTTCTTTGGACATTCTCCAGCACCTCAACATCCTTCTTGTCAGGAAGGGCCCCAAACTGAACACAGTATTTGAAGTACAGCCTCACCAGAGCTGAGTATAGAGGGACAAAATTTGAGATGCTCTGGAATATCTGCAGGGACTTGGCAGATGTGGTGCAAACCCACACCTACTAGTGGAGACCCTGGAGATAACTCTAAGACATTCAGGGTTTGGCAACCAAATCAAGCTCCACTGACTCCACTGTCAAAGCTCAGGCAACTGCCATGTGAGATATCTGCGTTTTGATACCTGCATTTCAGGTTAAGTCCCATCACATGTGGCATCTCCTGCTCCTACAGGTCTCATCAGGCTCTTGCCTGCTTCCTGGTGGGAAATCCAGGAGCTCAGCTGGATGTGGCAGCTCAGCTCTCCAAGGTCCCTCCTTTCAGAAGCACAGATGCAGCAGTCTTGTCTCAAGCCAGAACTTCGTGACTCGACACAGCTGTGCAACTGCATTCCTGAAGGTTTCGGAATGATTATTACTTTGAGGGAAGATTTGATTATTTCCAGCAGCTTCATGAAGCTCTCTGACGATGATTTCATTGCTGGTCTACTTCCCACACTGTCTTGACAAGGACCCAGCTTCTCAGGGCGCTGAATGTGCCTTTCACAGTCTCTGCAAAATGTTGACTGAAAGCTGAGCTTCCAGATTTGCAGATCTTCAGTATCTTTAACCATGAGCCATGCTTAGGGTGGGTTATGAAGAGGTGCTGCTCTAAAGCAAGGGTGCAGAATGCATCCCACTGTGCTGAAGACAACCCAGTATGAGGCAACCACCCTTAGTGGATTCAGCTAAGGGGATTACTGCCCTTAGCTTGACTCTGTGCTTGGCCCTGAAGGTCAAATGTTGTTGATGATGTGCAGAGTGAATGAAAATTTGCATCATGGAGGAGGAAAACAGGAAGAAGTTAGGGGGTTTGAAGGGCAGAGTTAACTCCATGACATTGCTCTGGACATCTCATGGTGGGTCACAGCTTCACAGCACATTTGGAGATGTGGGACTTTCTCTTTTCCTTCTTTAGAGAAGAGGAAGCTATGATTAAGATGAATCAAATGGTGTCACTGTGGCCAGTCAGGCAGTTTAAAGCACAAGGTATTCAGGTAGAAGATGATTGCGTAGGGTGATTCAGAGGATGAAGTGCTTAAACGAATGCAGCTGTATTTTAAGACAGGCTACTAAATATCAGAAAAAGCAGAGGTGAGGCTTGCGTTTCGGAGGACAAGCTGATCTCTCACCATTGGGATAAACATGAGACTTCCGTGGAGGAGAATGCGCCATTGGGTCATGTCTTCATAGGCCAGATGTGTTCATAGGGAAGGATAGTGTATGAAGTCCCCCTGTCCTGCTTGTCAGTCTCCTTCCAAAAGTCCTGGTTTGCATCAATTCACCCTACTACTGACTCTCAGAAAAAGACATTTCCTCTTCACCGAAATATTTTTTCCAAAATTCTGCAAGTTTTTGCTGTAAGCAGGACAAATGCTTCTTCAAGCGTACATGGAAGGATCTCCATTTGCCAAAAAAAACCCCAACCCTACTATTTCTTTGGGAAGAAAAGGGAAAGAAAAACTTTGTTTTGGAAAGTATCTTCTGCTTATCTGTGTTCCTGTGTCTCTGGTGACAAGAGCCACGCTTACCACAGCCCAGACTAAACATACAAGTAGCATCAAGAGCAAATCTTTGTCTTCCAAATCCCCAGCTTACTCCCACAGCCCTACTGAGCCCAGCAAGCTCTATTTTGTCCAGTCAGATGCAAGAAACACTGACCCAGATGAACTCTGCAGCTCAGGTCTGAAAGGTTTTCCAACCTGTGGCAATAACGAGGAGTTACCCTTGCTCTGCCGATCTCACCTTTGCTGGTTTCACTCTCTCGGACAAGGAAAGAGCCGACTTTGTTACCAGAAGACAACAGCAGCCGTTCAGCATCTTTTCTGCTCAGAGTTTTAAAATACCACCTGGGAGACAGAAAAGGCAAAATTGTGGCTTGAAATAGAGAAGCCCTAAAAAAAAAAAAAAAAAAGAAAAGACATTCTTTCCAGCTAGTTCATTTTTCTTTATCGTTACACTCTGAAACGGAGGGTTATTTTTATCAGCAAATAGTTTTTCACCAGCTGGAAAGTGGCAGTAATAGACTGTTTTCAGTAGATTAACACCAGATTTTGGTCACTCTGGGCTCGTTTCACATCCTAGCAATTCAGCCAGAGGAGAGAGCAGACGGCACTTGTGGTACGCCGTACATGAGAGAAGTGCAAGCTCAGCCTCCATGGCACACCCAGACCCACAGCTCACCTGGCAAGTGAGGAAGCCCTAAGAAGTGCCCAGGCAGGCTGGAAATAAAACAGGTACGTGGACTGGAGGCTGAGCACAGGGTGCCCATAACCATTTAAATGTACCCTTTGGTTACAAAGAGCAATTACGTCTCAAACTCTGTGCACTTCTAAATATTTGCTGAATTCAGTGAAGGCTGGGTCCCTCTGAATGGGACTGATCGTGTATAACTGAATGCCATAGAGGACAACAAGTCATGGAAGCAATTTCTTGTATTATAGGCATAGCACACCCTTTTGGCTCAGCCTTTCTTACGATCTTCTTCTCAGGGAGCCAAACGGGAAGGCTGCATCTGGGCTAATGAAACAAACAGCTCTGGGCTGTGGGTCTGGGCACTGGCACTCAGTCGTTTGCCCTGTTCAGTTGTTGGTGCGGGCACTGGCACTCCCAAGACCTGAGTAATCTACCCCTTCCCACAGAATCACAGAATTGCCAAGACAGAAGAAGACTTTTAAGATCAATTATTAACCTATCCCGAGTGATCCCAAGTCCCAGATTGCACATGGACACCATCCTGGAGGCTGACAGAGCCCTACACTATGCATATGGATGGACTGGCCCAGTGGGGCCAGAGGATGGTCCCTGGCACTGCTAATTTACTAGTGCAAACATAAATTTTATATTCTTTTCCCCAAATCCTTATTTTCCACAGCGGATGAAATCCATGGGACAGGAATCTTGGCCCACTTTCCTCACAGCAACCACATCCTCCCTGCTCTGCACCCATGTGGTGCTTGAAACTTCTCCTGAACTTCTGGGCAGTGTCGCTGAGGAGGATGAAGGACCTTTTGCCATCCATCTCAGAGGTGACATCTTTTTGCTGGCAAGTAAAGCTGGTCCCGTATCTTATTGAGAGACAGGGCTCTGCATCAATTTTCACCATTCATAAGCTTGCACACTTACTTTTCCTCTTCCAAACTGTCTACTAGGGCAACGAAGTTACTGGGGATGTAGCCTTTCCTCCCGCTGCTGAGGGATTTTGCCAGCCACCAGTCCCCCTCGCTGCAAAACAAGCAGAAGAAGAAGTGTGAGTGCCCAGAGGACGTTTCAGGACAAGCTAAAGCTGCAGGGACAGCATGCCTGCTGGGGGTTTGAGCACTGAAAACAGGCCAGCACTCTTTAATCCACTCTATAGGGCCCTCTCATTTTCCTAGGACAACCACCAGGTTGAAGGCTGTTCATGTCTCCAGGACTTCTGTAGGTGATGGTGTCTTTCCATGAATGCAGAAGCTTAGAGTGACCACAGATCCAAATCTCTGTTAGGTGACCCAAGTGAAAGTAGGGAAATCTGGGTCACCATAAGTTTATTTTGCCTCTTGCACTAGGACATTGGGGGTCCTCCTTCCTGCTCCTTCCTCTGTCTGCCAGACACCCACTGCTTTGCTCTCCCACCACTGACTCAGTCCCCAGATGTGACCAAAAGCCATCCCCACCCAGCAGTTTCCCCATGGGTCACGTCCCATGGCATCTGAGTGAGAAATGTCACCTCTGGAGGCCACCGTACAGAGGGGTGAAGGCTGGAGAAGCCCTACAAGGCCAAATGACCTAAGTCCACCTCTGCCCTGTTATGGACTGGGCAGATGGACTCTCAGACACTTCTCATGAGTTTAAGAAGGTGAAATGAAACCGTGTGCCTCTGGCTCAGTTCTGTCCTGTCCTCTGACTACACCCAACCCACATCCTTTGCAAAAGCACAATCAGCACAAAATATGAAACAGAAGCTCAGTTATTGTTGTTATTTAGGCTACTTCTGTGCCCACGCACACCAGCAGTGAAGAAGGTCCCTTTAGCATCCAGGCAGGGACACTATCTGACCCCAAAGTATCGGTAACCCAAGGAAAGCATGGAAGTGTCACCCTCTCCACCTTGTCAGAGAGAAGAGAGCACCCAGAGTCACACTAGAACAAAACTGAGGCACAGGCTCAGAAGTGGGAAGCTACAAACTGGTGTCTGACCCCAAGGTCCCCCTTTTCCCAACCTCACCGTCCTCATCTTTGAACCCCTCTCTGGCAGCAGGTCACTTACTTAGAGAGGACTTGGAGTTTCTCCCCCTTGACCAGCTGCAGGTCACGGTCACTTGAGGCAGGAAAATCGTACAGTGCAATCACAATCACGTCATCTGAAAGAAGCAAAGGCACTGCTGAATCCAGCTGGTTCCCTGCCAGGTGGGTGATGCACACCAGGCTGTATGGTGGGGCATTTCACACCCCGCACGCAGGGGCTGCCATCCCCCCTGTCCTCCAAAAGCCAAGCTTTCCATCAACCCAGCTTTCCTGCCAACCAGAACCTCTGCTCTGGGACCAGCATTGATTGACCAAAGTGTTTCCCATTTACGTGTTTTTAAAGCACTCCAGACCCCCCTCCTCCCGCCTTATCCACAAAACCTAGCGTGTCAACAAGAAAAAAGGGTTTGTGTGGAATGAGAAGGATCATAATAACCTGTCAGTGTTTGGCCTGAGTTTTACACAGTAGTAAATGAAAATTGCTGTAACAACATTTCCCAGGGTGGCTCCACGATTTGACTCAAAAAGATGATGTTTGCTTGATTGAAAAAAGGTATCAAGTCATCTCAGTTTCTGTTATTCGAGCCCATTGCTAGGGTTTGACTCTCCCTCCAGATGTTCTCGACTCAGCCTTTATCTTGCCATCCCTTTCATGCACCTTGACGATGTGATCTCACTTTTAACCCGGCACCTCCACAGCACCCGCCTGCTCTCTGCAGCTGAAATTCCCAGGAGGGCAGCGGCGGCTCCAGGATCCCCTTCCCTGCTGTGATGCTCCACACTCCAAATCCGATGCTCCATGTCCCCCATTCTGCTTGCAACCCACCTGGATTGAGGCTGTGAGCAAGCCTGGATCCCCATCCTCTATCCTACCCTGTTGCTATTACTCCAGCCATGACAGTTGAGCCTAAATTTAGGCAGGGCAAAATGAACTTTGGCTTTCACTGTGCGTGACTACACGTGGTGTGAGGCTGCTGGCCTGCCATGGGACAGATCTCTGTGGGCTGGAGCTGAATCGCTACCTCTGCATGGCTGGGTTGTGCTGGTGTGTGCTGGGAGAGGTCGTGCGACTGTTCACATGTTCTCTGTGGGCTCGCAGCTGCTGAAGCAGAAACAGGCAGCTATTTTGGGGAGATCAGACTTTATAAAGGGGCTCAGCATGTGTGGAGTAAGGCAAAAATCAAACCAAAGCACAAGGGTGAAGAGAAGAAGGAGAAGAAGAAGGAGAAGAAGAAAAAGGGAAAGGGAAAGGGAAAGGGAAAGGGAAAGGGAAAGGGAAAGAGAAAGAAAAAGGAAAAGAAAAAGGAAAAGGAAAAGAAAAAGGAAAAGAAAAAGAAAAAGAAAAAGAAAAAGAAAAAGAAAAAGAAAAAGAAAAAGAAAAAGAAAAAGAAAAAGAAAAAGAAAAAGAAAAAGAAAGAAAAAGAAAATAGAAAAAGAAAAAATTTTAAATAATAAAAATAATTAATAACAATAATAATAATAACAATAAAAATAAGACTATTTGCTGCAGAAAGGTTTTATCTTCTACATAGCCCAATTAATGCATCCAGACCAATGGATGGTCTATTATTATCATTTTTCAAACCAGACTGTCAAGCCGCAGTCTCTGTTTGACCTTTTCAAATAATGCCACCAGCAAGAGAGCCAGACGGGCCCTTTGTCATCGCAAGATAACGTGTCTCTGGGGCAACTTGGGTTTTGTGTCTGGGCAAGGCCTGGCTGCTGCTCTGCTGGTGATTTACTGGAGAGGAGGGACAAGAAAGGGTCAGCGTGGGAGGAAACCAAAGCCCTGAGCAGTTCCTTTCAGGCTTGCAAGGAGAAACTTGGAGACTCACGGTAGGTTTCAACAGAGCCTCGCACTTCTATATATGGAGAAAAGGATGATCAGTCACAAAGGAGAATGCTTTGAAGCCTCAAAATAGTTTGCACAGTTGGGGGCTTCCCCTTGAGGGATCTCAAAGCGTTTGGCATTAGCAATGCACCCAAATTCTTGTTGCCTCCTCGTTGAGAAAGTTGTTATCGTACAGCTTCTATGACAGGAAAGGGTTTTGGGCATCTGCCTGCTGCAAGGTGTCCATAACAAGCATGTTGATCCACACGCACCATCTCTCTCTTCTTGAAAGTAAAATAATGCAGTGGTCACACTTTTGCTTTGAAAAATAGAAGCAAGTGCGTCAACATCTTGAAGCACAGAGTGGCTGTGTGTATTCCAGAAAATAAAATGAAGTTTTGATCTTGAAGCAACTGACATAAGTACAAATAAACAAAACAAACAAAAAAAATTCCAAAAAATAAAAAAGCAAAGAGGGAGGAAGGAAAAGAAAATCCAGCAAAAGGACAAAAAGGTTTTATATGCTGAAAAAATATTATGGTCACCTCTTATCCCCTTCTCAAAATATGTGTTGAGAAACACTGCACGGTTAAGTGAGGCAGAAGAAGAGCTGTCTCTGCTCGAGCCAGCAAGACTTGCTGCCTCACGATGAAAGTGACTCTTTCCTGTCTCTGAGCCTGCCAGCCCGCTGAGAAACAGCCTCGATAATACTTTCTTGGCCTATTTGATCAAGTTAGGTCATGAGTGACTCTATGGCAGAGAAGCCGTCGGGGCTGCTAAGAGTGCCTGCTCTGCAGATAATGCTAGCAGCCCGCAGACTTTGATTGTGAGCCAAATCATCTTGGCTCAGGGCTGCTGTCAGGCAAGTTAGATACCAGCTTGGTTTGCACAGGCTGAGTGCCAGTTTGATGGCTTAATAGAAATGATTCAACCAGTCTTCCCACCACTGTCCCGTCGTGCGTCTTTGCAAGCGTCTCATGGCTGTGGAGCCAAGCTGAGATGGTGCCAGGGTCCCCTAGAGGACCATCAGTTGGTTTAGAGCTGTGCTAGGATAGAATCATAGAATTGTTTAGGTTGGAAAAGACTTTAAAGATCATCAGGTCCAATCGTTAACCCAGTACTGCCAGTTCCACCACTAACTCGTGCCCCTGAGCACCACATCTCCACGGCTTTTAAATACCTGCAGGGATGGGGACTCCACCACTGCCCTGGGCAGCCTGTGCCAGGGCTTGACAACCCTTCTGGTGAAGAATTTTTTTCCTAATGTCCAATCTAAACCTCCCCGGTGCAACCTGAGGCCATTTCCTCTTGTCCTGTCTCTTCTTACCTGGGAGATGAGACAGTTGTAGGTTATTATAATGCCTGAGGACAAGCACCCAAAATGACCATCTCTGTCCATCCGTAGTACGTAAATCTAGTTGTGAGCACCTGGCAGGGCACGGGCAGTAGTTATTCTACCTATCTGCTATGTCTTATCTATCCAACACAAGTAAATGACAGTGTCTGTAGCAATGGACTTGTTGTGTTTAGAGACCATCATCATGGGCTGTAGTGAGGGGTTTAGAAGTGCAGAATTAAGAGCAAGTTTAGACTCCATAGGATCAATCTTAAAGATGTCATGAGTGCTTATGGAACCATGAGAGACTCTCACACTGGAAGATTCCACGCCAAGTGGAAAGGTGATCGACCGTGCTGCCAGCTGCAGTCAGATCCAGAGTTATGCACTCCTTGTCTGCCTTTGTGTTACTTCTGTTACGAAAAATAATATCAGGAGGAATCAGGCTGGTTCTCTAAATAAATAAATAAATGTTTTCTGAGATAGCGGTGTGGAAGTTTGAAATTGTGAAACAAGTTGTACAACACCAAGATCAGGGGAAAGAACAGCAGAAAATTTTAAAAATGAAAAAAGAACCCACGAAAAAGAGTTTTTGTTTTATACTGCATGCTACACTTCTACAGTCAATAATTTTGCCCGACTGAATTTGAGGTGCTTGCACAGGATATAATTCAGGTCTTTGATTTTTTTTAATACGATTAAATTTCTTGGATTGTGCTTTCTATATTGTGCTTTCTATATTGATTCACTTGAATTGCCTTCTTTCACAACAACAATATCTCAGATATCTCAAATATCTTGCAGCCTATTTTACCACACAGGATGGAGTCAGACATCTCATCATTTCTGGAAACTCAGGCACGAGTAGAGAAAAATAAGAAGTTCTCCAGACGGACAGTATGAATATTCCTTCAAAAGTGGAACTGAACCTAACAAACTAAAATATTTTTGAGAGCTGGAAATGGCTAACATGGTACTTAATGCATTTTTTAGCACCTTTCCACTTCTGCCTTCTGGCGTGAAGCAGAAGTAAAAGCCGCCTCCCTGAAGGTGGCTTCTGTTGTGCTTCTCGCCAGAGAAGGTTGATAAAAACCCTGTGAAAAACTGGTGGTGTCTGCTCAGTTGTGGAAGTAGGAGCCAAGCACGGCCGCTTGGAAACATGTCATGGAAACATGTCATGAAAACAGTTTTGCGAGAGAAAGCACCGAAAAAAGATGGTACTTCCACAGAAACCCACCCTGATTCACATGGTTATGCCTCCCACAAGTTTGATGCCCATAACAAATGTCAGTTTTGAATAATATTTTGAAGTTGCAGAATTTCCTCTGCCTGCCCAACAGCAGAGACCCTCCACCATCAGCCGTAAGACCGCCAGGACCTAGGCCTGCCATTCCACCCATCCTACTTATTTGTCACCCCATTTTTGCTTTCCTCATGCCCTGTCTCCCCTAATGGTACAATTTTGCCCATGTGAGGATCTTCTGTGTGTCGCTCACCGCTTTCTTCCAAGCTTTATCTATTTTTTTTGCCCTCTTCTGATTCCCTCTATCTCTGCCCTTAATCTGCAAAACTTCTTTGACGGGAATAAATACAAGCTACTGTTGGAGGCTTGGCAGATGTAGCAGAGGGCTACCTGCTAAAAGGCAATCATCCACCGAACGTCGCCTGCGACCCGCAGATAATTGCGGAGGTGGCTGAAGCCAACAAACGGTCTCCAAGCAGGGGCTCTGTGCATCCTTATTTCACATTCTTTTCTTTCTTCTCGCTCTCTTTGTAGTCTCTCCGGGCGCTCTGATGCCTGCTATTTCCTCTGAAACTGTCAGTAACATCCAGAAGTTGTCAACGCTGCAGACAGGGCAGCAGAGAGAGAAATCTGACGCGGCTGGTGTCTCAGATCTCACTTTGCTCAACCGATGAGGAAGGACTGCTTTTCCCTCTTAATTTCTTTGATGAGCAAGAGAAACTGGCAGCTACAAATGGTTAGTGATGTAAACTGAATCTTCTGGAACGGAGCGATAATCTCCGTGCCTTGGCAATGCTATAAACACAGAAACCACACGCCTGTGACACGATGGCTTGTTCTCCAGACCTGCTGCTGGGGGACCACCACCTTGTGCAACCCCACAGGAAGGTGAAGAAAACAGCAACTGAGCTAAGAATCTTACCTTGTACAGAGGCTTGGTTTAGATGAGGGATGCTGATAAATTGTCTGTCCTTTGGCAGAAAGAAAAAGAAAAGAAAAATAAGTCATTTACTGCTGTTTGCAGGAAGACCTGCTCGCAGCTTCATAGATGAGTGGGATTCTGGTCTGGAGCCCACTGTAATCAATCAACAGCCCCTGCACCTGGCTTTGTATGTGTCATGGTGGCTTTAGCACATTCTGCCATGGTGGCTTTAGCATGTTCTGCCATGATGTGTTCATAGCTGTGTTCACTGTCAGCTTCAATAATCCCTGGTTCTCCTCCAAATAAAACCATAAATCTGCTGCCCACCGATATAGACCCCGGTCTAACTCTGCTGCCAGATTTCAGATCAGTGGGGGATGAGACACGAATGGTCCCATTGAGAAATGACAATTGCAATATGATTTGAAGGAGAAAAATGGGAATACTCGTTGCCCTACCTGTCCCATGGCTCATGGAATATCCTCTGCTCAGGGAGATGTTCAGAAAACAAAGGTAGTGACTATATTATCAAATTAAACAGCAGCAAGGAACTGCAACTCATCTTGTCCTGCTTTTGGCCACAGACCACTCCTGGCTGGGATGCAACCCCCTTGCTCTGCTGGCTAAGAGTTTAATATTATGGAAGTGGCCTTGGGGGTTCTGTTGATCTCAACCCAAATTTAGACACCAATATTGTGTCCAGCCCAAGGTACAGTAGCTAGTGTCTATAGTGAGTGTTTGACCACTGCCAGATATTTTTATACATGTGCAAAAGGAGTGAACTACAGACGTTAAATTAAAAGTTTTTAACTCACACACTTTCACTCCTACTTAGCAGCAGTTTGGGGTGGGAGAGCTGCTCATCCACTGCCCTTTCTAATTAAACTGAAAGAAATACGGACTTCTCCTGACATGTGAGAGCTTAGTGCCCGTGGCAAAAAAATTGAGTGTCAGAAGGTGACTGATGATATTGTATTTACACAGATAGCAGCTCCTCTCCAGTGAGCTGCAAAGAAGGAAATTTAGGAAAAGAATACCCTCTTGGTCAATCTCACATCTGCTGTCATGAAGACTAGATTTTGTAACCATGGCAGAACTCAGAAACTAGACTAGAGGAGCAAAAAACATCTCCAGTTGTCATCAGAAGCAATGAGGGGCAATTCCTCCCCATTGTCAGAGCTCAAGATCTGTTTTCACATGGCGGTAACACCTAGAGTTTCTCTTGTGCTGGCTGCTGGATGCAGTGCTGACAAGGGCAAGAAAAAAAAGAATCATAGAATCATAGAACAATTCAGGTTGGAAAAGACCCTTGGGATCATCGAGTCCAACCATTGACCCTACACTACAAGTTCACCCCTAAACCGTATCACCCAACACCACATCTAAGCAACACTTGAACACATCCAGGGATGGCGACTCAACCCCCTCCCTAGGCAGTCTGTTCCGGTGTCTGAACGTCATGTCCTCTGCACAGCACCAGACAGATTTTAAACAAGGAGTTTTTCATTTGAGGTCTCCTAAATCACAGTATCTTACTGACCCATGTCCACATAAGCAGAAGTTGCATGAATTCAAAGGGAGCAGCAGATGCTCAGCATTCCTCATTCTCAGCCCACTCCCCCGCAGATTAGCTGTAGACCCTCTTTAGTGAACCTCCCTTGTGGTAAAGTATCCGTTGTGGTTTGGAACTTTGAATCTTAGCCTGAATCTGACTCCTCTTTGTGCTGTTTGCAAGTCAGCAGCAGTAGCTTGAGTTGCAGAGTGCTGAGGGCATCAGACCTGCCTAAAAGATACAGGGATCAACTGGGAGGACTTGTGTTCAAGCGATGCAGGGCACAAGGAGCAGCAGCCTCTGCACGTTCTCTCCCTGTCTCCTGCCTTGCTCTGCAGTCCAGACCACACAAATAATTGTGCTGGGCTCAGCGTGAGGTAGCCCTTGAGAGCACCATCATCCCTAGCCCACTCAGACAATTCACGGCCGTAACAAGTCCCCAAAGAGAAAAAGGGGCATCCTTTTTTGAGAGAGAGAATACTCAGAGCAAATAAGGGTTGACTGAACAGCTCATCCCATACTCAGAATCTCGTGGAGGGAAGCCAGGCACAAATATTTTTCTTTTGCCCTTTGAACAACATTTCCCCAGTTTTAGGAAGTAGAAGTACTCAAGTTCTTGCTGACTCACACCAGCATTGCCTGCATCGCTCCAGGCACTAACAGTTGTTGAAGATCCCAAAAGGACACAAAAAAGAAGGCTTACCTTGGGTGGGGCAGAAGGAGGTTTACTCTTGGTTTTTTGATTGCTGCCAGAAGCGTGTTTCTCAGTGGTTGTCAGCTGGTTTTTGCTCCCGAGCAACCCCATCCTGGAAGGAAGACCATGAATAACTCTTTAATGAGTCAGCCCTTGGGAAAAGGGGCAGGCACTGGGGGACAAAACGATCTTCTCGTTCGTGAAGAAAAAGGTGGAGAAGATGAGAATGCAAGGCAGTGGGACGGTGCAGGGAAGAGTCTACAATCATCCCATTACAGTCCTCCTGCTATCTTGGACCTTCTGAACTCCATAGTTTCTGTTCCCACACAACTCTGGTGTTTCATACTTTTCAGATGAGTCTCAGACAGACACTATAAATCTCCCCCCAAAAAATCAACACAAATGACTGCTTTTATAGGTGCTAGAGCATATCCAGAAAAGGGCAAAGAAACTGAGGAAGGGTCTGGAGAACAAGTCTTGTGAGGAGCAGCTGAGGGAAGGAGGCTTGTTCCCCCTGGAGAAAAGGAAGCTGAGGGGAGGCCCTCTCACTTTCTACAAACTCCCTGAAAGGAGGTTGTAACGAGGTTGGGAGTCAGTCTTTTCTCATTAGTAACAAGACAAGAGGAAATGGCCTCAAGTTGCATCAGGGGAGGTTTAGACTGGATGTTAGGAAAAATTTCTTCATGGAAATATTTGTCAAGCCCTGAAACAGTCTGTCCAGCGCAGTGGTGGAGTCCCCATCCCTGGAGGTACTGAGGGGTTTGGGAGTCCAGGAAGGCTGGACGCTCTTTAAGAAAGAGGTCCTTAAGGTGCAGGAGCAGGTCATCCCCGTTAGCCATAAATCCAGCTGGAGGCATGGATGACCTGCCTGGCTTAACAGGGAGATTTGGCTGGCACTCAGAGAGGAAAAGAGGATTTATGGCCTTTGGAAAAAAGGGCAAGCAACTCATGATGACTATAAAAATGTTGTGAGGCTATGTAGGAAAAAAATAAGAAGCTCCAAAGCCCATCTAGAAGTTCATCTGGCCTCTACAGTTAAGGATAATAAGAAAAGTTTCTATAAATATATTAATAACAAAAGAAAGGTCAATGAGAGCCTCCATCCCCTGTTAGATGCGAGAGGATGACTAGTGACATCAGACGAGGAAAAGGCTGAATTGCTTAATGTCTTCTTTGCCTCAGTCTTTATGAACAAGGACAGTTATATAGAGGGAATCTAACTTCCTAAGCTGGGAGACTAGGACTGGGAGCAGAAAGACTCCTCCCATTCCAGGAGGAAAAGGTCTCTGACCTGCTGCAATATTTAGATGTGCACAAGTCTATGGGGCCAGATGGGATGCACCCAGGAGTGCTGAAGGAGCTGGCAGAGGTGCTCACCAATCCACTTTCCATCATTTATCAGCAGTGCTGGCTGACTGGAGAGGTCCCCTCAGATTGGAAGTCAGCTGATGTTACCCCCATATATAAGAAGGGAGGGAAGCACAATTCAGGGAATTACTGGCCTGTCAGTTTAACTTTGGTCCTGGGAAAGCTGATGGAGCAGATCGCCCTGAGCTGTATTATGAGACACACGCAGGACAACCAGGTGATCAGGCCCAATCTGCATGGGTTCATGAAGGGCAGGTCCTGTTTGTAGCCCCCTTCAGGTATCGGAAAGCTGCTATAAGGTCTTCCTGGAGCCTTCTGCTCTCCAGGCTGAACAGTCTCAAATCTTTCAGTCTGTCTTCATAGAGGAGGTGCTCCAGCCTGCTGATCATCTTCATGGCCCTCCTCTGGACCTGCTCAAACAGGTCTGTGACCTTCTTCTATTGGGCACCCACTCTTCTACTTGTAAATTTGTGGGAGATGGCTTTGTGCCAGGATTTCTGATTCTGAATGGTGTTATTTGCCAGGGCAGTAAATGAGAGCAGCTAGAGTTCCCTTTTCACCTAGGGAACTTCAAGGTATCACTTTAAGTCAAGGCTGGATGATAAACAAGTTTTAGATACCACTCATTACCAGCCATGAAAGGCACAAAGTCCACCTGCATATTGAACTTCTACCTACAGCCCTTGTTATTATCTCACTGGAGCATCCCACAGTCTTTTATATACTCTGCTCCCAAATGGAAGATAGAAACGTGGCAGTTGCTGTCTTTGCTCCGGCAGGGGGGTTGGACTAGGTGATCTTTCAAAGTCCCTTCCAACTCCTGACATACTGTGATTCTGTGATTTTTCAACAGAGTTAGGGGATGTGAGATATGATACAAGTCAGCAGCGTGCTTTGATCACCAGTCATGTCACCAGGATGATCTTATGAGAGGATTGATGGACCATCTACAGGATGGTGGATTCATATTTTAAGGTTTCAGGTTGCTCTCGGGGCAGAGTGGGAAAGGGCATGGGGGAAGGTCAACCTCAGCAAGTCCCATTAGGGGCTTGTGGCCATCCCAGCTACTCTGACAGGATTTGAGAGGAGTGGGGACCACGTCCTAACCTGTGTATCTGCTCACAGTGCTCCTGTGTCCAAGGGGACATTGCAACCCTTTCTGCACCGTGTTGAGAGTGGAAAAACCTCTCTGCACGTTTGCACAAACTGAGTTTTCTCCCCATATGCATGTTTCAAAGACACATCTGTGCAAAGCGGCACAAAGAAGTCAACACCATGGCCCAGCACGGGTGGGAAAAGGAACCAGTGAAAAATATCCCACAAAGGTTACTTGCTCCCACCCCCACACAGACATTAGCACAGTTCTGGGTATTCACAGTCCCTACAAAATCCACTCGTCGTGCTTTCCAGGTTGCCTGTGCAGCCTTCGGCAGCTGACACAACTGTCCTTCATATTACACAAAAATCCCAAAATAGACCTGTGGATAAACAGTGTCAGACCTGGTAAGCTCCCAGCCCGCAGCTGGTGTAGTATTCGCTTTCTGAAAAGTAATTTTCTTTTTTTTTCCAAATAAAAGGAGCTGAGTTGAATGGATGTTCTGCCACAGTGTTTCTGCTCCTGATTAGTTTTTCTTTTAAATTAGCTTCACAGAAAAAAAAAGTAACCGATAGTAGCTCTCCCATCTTTTTCTATCCTGTTATAAAAAAGGATATCCTAGAATCCTCGGATATCCTCCTCCCTACCTAGGATGGAGGTACCTGGGCTAAGCCAAGGGCTGCAAGCGTTTGCCCATCTCATCTTTGGAGTAAGCAGCTCTGCACCATGGGTGCACCATCTACTGCGGTTGGTTGGTTTCCGCTACATGAGCAAGAGAGCTCAAAAGTTCTTTCGGATGCGAATGCAGCAACGTCTTCTGCGATGGGTGTGAGTGATACAGACAAACAACCTTGGATCTGCACGGGTGGGTGCGAGGGAAAAACAAGACAGAATCTAGCAGAAAAGCAGAAGTCTCAGCTTGTCATTGGTCTCTCCCCCATGAAACTGTGCCATGGAAAAATAGGTCAAGAACCAAGCAAGCCAATAGTGTTTCGCTGCGAAGGCAACTCCAAAAAAAACCCCACCAAGCCCCGTGAAATCACAAGATAAACACCCTTTCCATTCAGATTCTAGAGTGGGTCCAACAACATGTTTTCATAGTTCACGAAGATTAGATATTTCACTTCATTTTAAAACTTCAGAAGGTCTTTGTTTAAGAAAACACATTTGAAAAGGAAATGGCATTAAAAACCCTTAAAAAGTTACTTTGGCAATGCTGATATAGCCAGCTATGAAGGGTCTAAAATTCTGATTTTCTTCTTGCAAGTCATCTCCCTTCCAGAAAGAATTGCTGAAATCAACTTCCTTTGGATACAATAATTTAAGTATTCCAGATTTGCATTTTTGCATGAGCAGGACGAAAAAAATGCAGTAGAAATAAACCTAAAAACCAACTAATACCCCAGATCTAGGCACATCCCAGATGCATTAAATTCTCTTTTTCCTCATTTTAATAGCTTGTCGATATATCTCCCCACCTGGCACAATTGGATTGCTTTGCAAGATGCAAAACCAGAGAATTCTTAAAGATCTTGGTGAGATCAGCCACTTAAATAGGAATGAAGACTTGCTACTAAAGCATTTTCTACTGTGACTATTTTCTACTTTTGCTGGGTTTTGGTCAAGTTCTTTTCATCAGTTGTTTTTTTTTTTTTTTTTGAATTAGCAGTTTTGTTGCTCAGAGGTGGTTAGAAAACAGCTATAAATAAGTGTGCTGTGCTGCAAAGAGCACTGACCGGGCAGGAGGTCTTTCTCAGAGGCAGGAGGTGGAGGCTATGGCCACCGTTCTTTAGGACACAGTGGCTAAAGTCTTGCTGAAGACGTCTCCCTGACAGTGGAAGGGCAGCAAGAACTTCTGTGATGACACAGGAGCTGGATCTCCAACCAACATCAGAGGGGACTTTCATAGCCAAAGGCTGCTGCTCAGTAGGACCAGGTCATGTGTGGAGGAACTACAGCAATGCAGAAGGTTCCCGTGAAGACCCTGTGGGAAGAAGCGCCTTGGGTTTTGCTGGGGAGTGAAGCAGGTATCTGGCTTGCGTGTTGCATCCTTACCGGAGCCCTGGCAATATCATAGAATCATAGAATGTTGGGGGTTGAAAGGGACCTCTGGAGATCACCCAGTCCAACCCTCTGCCAGAGCAGGATCACCCAGGGCAGCCACGCAGGAACGCGTCCAGGCGGGTTGGAAAGTCTCCAGAGCAGGAGAGTCCACACCCTCTCTGGGCAGCCTGGGCCAGGGCTCCGGCACCTTAACAGGGAAGAAGTTTCTCCTCATGCTGAAGTGGAACTTCCCATGTTCTATCTTAAACCCATTATTTCTTGTTCCATTGCTGGGCACCACTGAGGAGAGATTGTCCCCTTCCTCCTGACCCCCACTCTCAGATATTTCTATATGTTAATAAGGTCCCCTCTCAGCCGTCTCCTTTCCAGGCTGAACAGCCCCAGTTCTCTCAGTCTCTCTTCCCAGCAGAGATGTTCAGTCCCTTGATCACCCTCGTAGCTCTCCCTTGGACTCTCTCCAGTAGGTCCCTGTCTCTCTGGAACTGGGGAGCCCCAAGCTGGACACAGGATTCCAGGGGTGGTCTCACCAGGGCAGAGCAGAGGGGCAATTCAGATCCCATCCAGTCCCGGTCCTTGTTTGACG